CACTAGGGAATATTGACTTCTGCTTTCTGAGGAAACTCTGTTGGAGAGTGTTAATTCCTTCTTGGGGGAAGAAGAGTTCAAAAGATTGCTTTTTATTTGCTCTACTGAGGAGTTATAATTCTTTGTATACCCTGACTGGGGATAAAAGAGGTGGATAACCTTCCAGCTCATCTGAGGAGGATAAGGTTAACTGACATCTGCTAAGATTTTAGATTCAGTGCCAACTCTCTAGGGATAATAGCAACTTCAATGGGGAGAAGATTTTAGCCGGTGATTTATGATAAAAGCATACTTAAGCTGGGGAGTGTCTATTCCTTGATTGTATCTGAAAATGTATTGAATGGGTATCAGAATGATATCCATATCTGGACTGTATCCAAACTGTTCTGAAAGATGTACTAGATGAGTATCAGAATGAATCTATATCTTGATCATATCTCAACTATATCTGGAAGATCTACAGAATGAGTATCAGAATAAATCTATATCTTGATCCTATCTGAACTGTATCTGGAAGAGAAATTTGGAATGAGTGCTAGAATTAATCTATATCTTGATTGTATTTGCACTGTATCTAGAAGAGAAATCTGGAATGAGTGCTAGAATGAATCTGTATCTTGATTTTTTCTGCACTGTATTTAGAAGTGGATCTAGAATGAGTGTCATAATGAAATTGTATCTTGATTGTACTTGCACTATGTTGTACCCCAAAATTTGCACTCTCACTTTACTCAAGACATGCCCATTGAGGTCCCCAACTTTCCCAAGGATGACCAAGAATTGACCAGACAAATTCTCCTCATAAAGGCAATGAAACTCTAATTAGGGTTTCAATTTTCATCAAGATGTGTGAACTCTAATGGTCTCATATTTTGTACATGGTCCTAATATGTCCTCAAGGTTATCCATGTCAAATTTCATTCTTGGCACAACAAGCTTGCTCAGTCAACTGCTCAAATGCTTGAAAATCAACTGTACTAGGTCAAAAGTCAACTGTGACCTATATACAGTCAAAATTCAAGAATTTTGGTCAACATCAACATTTTGAATTGAAATCTATCATTTTATAAAGGGTTGATCATGATTCCTCAAGAAATGCTCGCAAATTAGGGTTTTTATAGGAAAAGTCAACCAAACATTGACTAGGCATAACATTCTCATACTTTATCAAAAATTTTCCCACCAAAGCTCATTTTGAAGAAAATCTAATTACCTAAAACTTCTCTTCAGCCCTCAAGTTTAAGAAATTCCCCAATTAAAAGAATACAAGCTCGGACATTATGGGTCCTTTCAAAAAGTCAACAAAAACACCTTCTGGGTCAAAGCTTCTTACATGAACATGGAAGATCCAATTGAGATGAAACCAAAAGGGTTGTTTAGAGGACATCTAAAGCTATCTAAAAAGTCAAAGAACACCCTAATAGGGTTAAAATTGATAGAGAGATGCATTTCTAAAGTTGTCCAATTTTTGGAAAAGTGCATGAAGCAAATATTGAGTTAACTTGGAATATTTCTAAATGGGCCAATCTTTTTATGCTTGAAACTTATTCCTAACATGGTCCACGACCTCTAAGCTCACCCATACATTATTCTATTATTTATGATATTTATTTTGATATTTTATTCATTAAAATTCAAAATTAAATAAATAAATAATGGAGATAATGTAAAATTTGATTTGAGATCTTTTTCCATTAAGTATTGGGCAAAATATGTTGATTATATCAAGTGAATTTCGTGGAGGTAGAAAAAGATTTGATTTAGTCCAAAGCAAGTAAAAAATCACATAATTAGAAAGAAAATATTTTCTCATGAAAGCATGGATATTCCTCCATATTTGTTGACCTAATATTGTCTCATATATATGCATAAGCATTCCAGACTACATGCATACGCGAAGCTGCCTCTAACAAGCCCTAACAGAGTTTCAAAAAAAAAATTCAAAGTGGTGCAACTTGAGATCTCTCTCTCCAGACAATTTCAACCACTTCCAACCATCCATTCACGTTCCTGAGACTCTCAGCAAGCCAACCCATTCATTCCTGAAGGCCAAAGCATGCAGGATCATCCTCTCTAACAACTCATAGTTTGGTATATTTCGTTGATCTCAAACTCTTATTTCATGCAACATATATTATATCTCTGCATATAGTTGTGCTTAACATCATGTTTGCGTGTGCTTAGTGAAACAACCGGCCGAACCATCATTAGATAATAACATCAATGAAGTCGCCACCGAACGTCTTTTATCCTGCAAGAAGGGGAAAGGTAAACATCGAGAAAACATGAAGAGGGGTGAAATCAAGATCTTGCGACTGAGAGATCGGGTAAGGGAGTCTGTTACGCGAGCGGAAGGTATTAGCACCCCACACGCCCGTAGTACTCTACGGTATCCATTCTTGTTGTTCTAATCTAATGGGTGCAAAAATTTATATCTAAGCTGTACAAGGAAAAAGGAAGATACAATAAGGTAATGCATGCAAAAAGAGAAGAGAAAATAATGTAGGGAAAATAAAAGTTATGCTTGCCTGGGCCCTACACCAATGCCTACGTATCCCTTTTAAGGAATCAAAGCAGTCGTAGTTCGTCTCATATATTTTGGTTGGTTTGTGTTTTTTAGTTATGAAGATAAAAGCAACAATCAAGATGGTAAAACATCAGATAGAACAACGAAAATGTCAATAATGATGATAAAATAGAAAAAAGAGATGACCAAACATCACATGGAAACACAAACTCAGATAAGGCGGCAAAACGCTAGCATGATAGCAAAATATCAGACAATATGATGAAACATTACACCTAACAATGATATTGAAATCAAAGTAGAATAACAAACATGTGCGATAGTGAAACATCGGCTAAAAGAAAAACAAGATGACATGGTAAAGAAGGCAAGACATAAACAATCAGATGATGAAAGATCACACCTAACAATGATATTAAGAATTAAAGTAGGATAAAAAACATGTGCGATAGCGAAACATTGGCTAAAAGAATGTGCAATGGCGAAACATCGACAAAAGAATATGCGATGGCAAAACATCGACTAAAAGATGGAATGATAACATGGCAAAGATGGCGAAACATCAATAAACCAGAGGACAAAACAACACACCTAACACTGATATTGAGAATCAAAGTAGGATAACAAACATGTGTGATGGAAAAACATCGACTAAAAGAATGTGCGATGGAGAAACCTCAGATAAAAGATAATAGAATGTCATGGCAAGGATGGCAAGACAACACTTTGACAAGATTTTAAAACAAAACCAAAAGGCGCACAAAAAAATAAGATTGGTTTGCATTTTTTACCTTGAAGAAGGATTTAAGTTTATTAGAGATATTTTATGAATTGTCAAGAAAAAGAAGTTTTAGTTTTAAAATGCAATATGCAAAGAAAAGAGAAACAACTAAGGGAGACTAACCTAACATTACCCCTAATGTTATCATACAAAGATTCATCCTAAGGTTGAGGTTGACAGAGGGAAATTTCTACCCTATGTTAGCATACATGGATTCCTATCGTAGGGTCTAGCTCGAGGACTAACTCTACACGAGAAATCCTAGGGGAGCATGGTAAAAACCAAACAAGTGAGCAAACAAGCTTTGGAAAGAAAAGAATTGTTTGTTGGTTGACTTTAAACAAGGAGAAAAATCGTCATTGTTATGAGAAAAATCTCGACTAACGTCCACAAGGTGTGGGAAAGATGGACCCCGTGTAAGCAAGAGTGAGGGTTTGAGAAAGCCTCTAGTACTCAAGTGGAAAAGTCGACACATGTATAACCATGGGGATAAGAGAATGTTGCTAGACTATCAATGAATCATGTATTATCTAGAAGAAAAAAATTTTGAAAGGTAAAAGTGTTCGAGCGCACAAAATGGTTTGAATGAGTTGAAGTGTTTTTGTTAATTTTGAAAGATGTCAAAGTATGATTAAATGAATTGAAGTTTGTTTAAAGAAAATAAAAAAAAATTTAAAAGAAAAGGCACACGACAAAGTCGAGGTTTATTATGAAAGCGGTTCAAATTTATAAACAATGAAGATTTTGTAAAAGATGAGAAAATTTTGAAAAATAAAGAAAGGGAGAAAAGAATGTCCTATGTACAGGAGGGTAACAGATAAGGTAAAGTGAATCCGAACGAATAAGAAACCAGTACTTGACATGATAAAAGTCAATACAACGTTCCCATCCCTTTGGGTTTAAAGTCGCAGACAGAAAAAATAAGCTAAGAGTATACCAAACCTCAGGTGAAGATAAATCACAAGCTGACAGCATAAAAAAACAGACGTAAGATAATACTCCAAGCAACGAATAAAGCGCAATGAATCACAACGCGTGGAAATAAATCACGGATGAAGAAAGCGTGGATAAAGCTCACAGTACCAGATAAGGCTCGAGATATTAAATAAAGCTCACGATATCAAATAAAATTCCCTACATCGCATGAAATATACAGACAAAACTAACAGCACGGGAAAAATTATATGCATTTGTGCGATTTTTCAGAAGTTAATTCGAATTAAAATTAAAAATCGTAACGCAATGAAAATAATATTTACATAACCTGAATTTATTTACAAGTTAAGTGAATAAAATATACAGTGAAAATATTATGTACAAGTATATATTTACAGTACCAAATATTAAATCAAAATAGTGAAATACAATAAAGAAGTAAAGGGAGAAGTGTATGAATTATGGATTCGCTATGTGAGAATGGATACTTGAAATGATTTTCGGAAACCTTCACAATAAACAAACTCATTAGTGGCATAAGCGGTATAAAAATAAAATGAATGAAATTGCAATAATTAAAATTTATGTTAGTAATCACAAAATATAAAATTGAAATGAAATTGTATGATGCAAATGAACAAATGAATATTTACACAAATAAAGAATCAAGAATTCATGATATTATTAAATTCTAAACATGGAAAATCAAGTTCTAAGAATGTTTTAACCGCGTAAATCAAAATCTGGGCAGCAGCTATGCACAAAAAAAAGTTAATCTCAAACATGTTTAGCGCAAAAGGAAATAGCACGGCGACGTCTCCCGAATTAACTCTTGAATCAAACAAATTGTTCAACAAAATTCAAACAAAACTCCTTCCAATTGACTCAACTATAACCAAAACATTGTTAACATTAAAACTTAATATTAACACAAGTGATACCGTCATTCACGCTTCAAACACCATTAATACAGATAACAATCCAATACTTCAATTGATTTAGAAAAACTAGGAACACTTCATCACACAATAATTTCAACAACATTCAACGCGACGTCAATATTTAGCGTTTACAAAAATCAGAACCAATTAAACTTAGTGTTCAACTTCAATACAAATCGTACATGATTCAATAAACTCTAAACAAAAACAAATCAAAAGTCATAAGCACAAATCAGATTTGCTTTCACATAAAAGCATCAAACTGTTTTGTTTTTAGAACTTACCAAAATGCTTTTACAACTTAACAAAATACTTCTACAGCCCAACAAACTGCTTTTTACAGCCCTAAAAAAACTGCTTCTATCAAACTGCTTTTAACAGCCTAACAGAATGCATATTATAGCCTAACTAAACTGCTTCTATCAAACTAAAAAAAACTGCTTCTATCAAACTGCTTTTAACAGCCTATAAGACTGCTTATTACAGCCTAAAAAAACTGCACATCAGACGCAAAACAATATCAGACATAATCTAACAAATCATTTCAACCAAATTCAATGTAGATTTTCTTAATTGTAACTCGAATAAAATCAAAACAGTATGACGTTTATAACTCAATCAAGCCATTTTCTCCAGATTTTTATCACAAAATCAACTCAAAATTAAACCAGAATCATACACCGTATAATGGTTCGACTTAGATTTTGTCACAACAATTTATCACAGAATTATCAGCATACAACTATTGCAATCGAATTTCACAATCAAACCCAATTTCATAGAGATTTTCACAACAATCACAATTACAAGCAAAAGAAATTGAAAGTAGCCGGATGGTAGAGAAATTATCAGAACAAAGGTGCTGAAGTTGTTGCAGGATTGATGGAGATTCAGTGTATGCTGTTTGACGGAAGAAATAGAGGCGGAGCAGACCGTAGAGTCGGAGGTGAGCGGCGTTAACATTGGTTCGGTAGTTGTGATGTGGAGCTGTTACAGAGATGGATCGAAGGACGATTCTAATCGGAAGGAACAATGTAATGGGTTGTTGTTCAGTAGGTGAGGTTACAGTGATGAATTGGTGAAGGTTGGGTATGCGGAAATCGCGGAAGTTGATGAAGGTTCGATGATGGTTTAGGTGGTTCGATGAAGGGGTATGGTGGAAGTAGAGGGGAGATTGTGTGAAGAGAGGGAGGGGTATGTTGTGCGTGGAAAGAGAGAAAGGGATATTGTTAGTTGTTTTTGCTTTGTTAATTTATTTTTTGTTACAAAGAAAATTAAGAGGCCTTAAATAGAAAAAAGAAAAGGAAAAAAATGATGTGCTGATTCATTCTGATCTGTCCAAAATTCTTCAATTTTAATCCATCCGCAAATTCTATCAACAACCAATAGAAAACCAATAGAAATCAAGCATAATGTAATAAACATTTTTTATGACAAAAACGCCCTTAAATGACAAAAACAACAAAAAAATAGAAAGTATGAAAAGTAAATCAATTTAAAATATTTTTTTTGAATTTTTTTTGAATAAAAAATAAAGACTTAAAATGACTAAAAACAATAAAAAACAGACAAAAATTTATCCGAAAAAATAAAATGAACACATTAAAATAAACTACATGTCACAAAGGTTAAAGAAAAAATATTCAAAAAGTCAAAATCGAAATAAAATGAGAATAAAAATATCAGGCTAAAAAGATATTTACGTTAAAAACGAGACTTCAAACTGTACCGAAAAATAAAGTGAGCATACCGTCATAATTTACGTGAGACGCAGATTTATAAAATGATCGGTAAAAGGTGAAAACTTGAAATATTTTTCTCGCTAATTTTTCACACAATGTCTAATCGCTTTTAACAGTACGTCTATAAAACTGAAATATGAATATCATCGACATATAAACAACTTGGAGCAATCCAAGAAAATAGTAAACAGATAAAAATGCATGAAGTGAAATGTCGGGTATTTTTCAACTACATAATGATGCAAATGTCGATTTAAACTGACTTTTGGTCAACTTAAACACGACTGCATGACACAAATGTGATGAATGAAACTATTTATTAATGATTCTGACCAAATAACAAAATATGATATGAAAGTGCGACTAAAAAAAATTAGGGGCAAAATTTAGGGTACAACAATTGCCCCTATTTAATCATCTTTGAGAAGTCTTGGTAACCTGAATGATCAAAGTAATGAGGAGATGAAACCCATATTGGCAATACAACCAAACTCCATAGCTTGTAGAGAACTAAAGATCCTTGATCTCATCACATTGCATGAATGCGATGCAATATGATAATTATGATGAAACATAAGCCATAAAAATTCTGAAATCAAGAGGGTAAATTTTGGGGTGCAACAGCTGCCCCTATTCAATTATCTTTAACCGGATAAGCGAGAAAAGTGACAACTTTCGAGTGTTCAGAGTTGAAGATGATTGAATGCGAAAAAACCCGAAAATTTACACTCTTGAAGATAAAGTAGAACCCCCAAATAAAACTAACAGACGCGGGATTAGGAAGATACCAAACGAGATTAGAATTAGAAAACAAGGGGTTTAATGAACATTTGACCTCCCAAGACATGCATCAGAATGAAATTGTAATGCGGATATAAATAAAGTTGAAACAGAACTAAAACTTAGAAGAGTAGAGGAAACTAAACTTCATAATAAATGTGCCAGGGCAAAACTGGGCTTCAAAAAGGAGTGAGATAAAACTCAAACCACAGAGAATAGGCGAAACTAGACTGTGGAAAAGAAAAAAGTACGCGACGTAAAGTGGCTAGAGTGCGTGATTCTAGGAGCACCTGTAAATCTCAACATAAGATAGACAGTTTTAAGGAACTGAAAGAATCTCAGGAGTGAGGAACAAAACGAGACGAAACTCGGCCCAAAAACTAGTTAGGCAAAACTAAACTAGATGAGTACCAGGACGGAACTGGATTTAACGCACGGGTAACGAGGCGAAACTCGACCCATAGCAAGAGTGGTGAGAGTGCATGTCTCTCAGAGCACCTGCTGGTCTCAGATCAATAGATAAATAGTAACAAAAACTGATAGAAGAATCCAAGGATCAAAAGAGACTGATTTCAACCAGGGACGCAGCACGAACACTGCACTCGGTAAATGAACATCGTCAAAGGGTCCAAGGTATGAAAACAAAAACGAGATGAAACTCGAATCATTAACTAGTTAGGCGAAACTAAACTAGATGACTACCAGGTAGAAACTGGATTTCATGCAAAGGCGACAAGATCGAAGCTCGACCCAAAGCAAAGTGATGAGAGAGCATGTTTCTCAGAGCACCTGCTAGTCTCAGATCAATGGATAAACAGTGACGGAAACTGATAGAACAATCCAAGGAACAAAAGAGACTAATCTTAACCAGGGACGCAGTACAAACACTACACTCGATAAACGAACATCGTCAAAGGGTCCAAGGTATGAAAACAAAAAAAGACGAAACTCGACTCAATAACTAGCTAGGTTAAACTAAACTAGATGAGTACCAGGATGAAACTTGATTTCATGCACAGGCGACGAGATCTAAACTCGACCCAAAGCAAAGTGATGAGAGCGCATGTTTCTCAGAGCACCTGCTGGTCTCAGATCAATGGATAAACAATGATGAAAACTGATAGAAGAATCCAAGGAACAAAAGAGAGTGATTTCAACCATGGATGCAGTACGAACACTGCACTTGGTAAACGAACACCATCAAAGGGTCCAAGGTATGAAAATAAAAACGAGACGAAACTCGACTCAATAACTAACTAGGCCAAACTAAACTAGATGAGTACCAGGACAAAACTGGATTTCATGTGCGGGTGAGGAGACGAAAATCTGAGCTCGACCCAAAGCAAGGCGATTAGGGCGTACACCTAAAAACCTGCTAAAAGCGAATATCAAGACGAAACTGGTATTCGAAAGGTATATCAATATACATTGGAATGAACCAATAAGAGAAGTGAAGATTAAACCCTATAAGACTATGCCAGGGCGAAACGGAACTACAGCAAGAGTAGACACTCAACCAATCAAATGACTAACATCAGAAGGATATTTGTATGGGTTGAAACTAATATAATGAGGATGAAGACCTCGCTGGGGATATAATCCAAAGAATTAGCAAATTCAATGGGGAAAATAGAAACAGTAATGGCTTATGTTCCGATGCATGTTTGAATTTTCTTTATAGCACAATACTCCATATAATGGAAATGCTACCTGTTTTGGTAGATGCAATGCAATGATGCATGTTTAAAATGCTTCAATGGGGAATGGACAAACGAGAAGCCAACAAACAAGAAGTCAGAGTCCAATAAGTCTTAAAAAAATAAATTGCAAAATCTGCTGGACAAAAGAAGATATAAGGAACCGCTGGGGAGAAAACCCTTGAAGAGTTGAAACTCTGTGGGGAGTAACAACCGAGCAACCAGTAGAAACGGGCCGCAAACATTGAGAGGAGTTGAAAAAATAAATTGCAAACTCTACTAGAAAAGATCAGATCAAAATTGTAACTTTTGAAGGAATGCCAAATGAAGATTGGGCATTGTGGGAGAAGATCAGGGTGATATTGTAGCTTCTGAAGGAGAATACCGAATAGAAATTGACTGTTACGGGAGAAGATCAGGGCAAGACTGTAATCTCTGGAAAAGATGGCGTGTAGATGTGTTAAAGGATGATACCAAGATAACAAACCAGACGCGAGAAGAAAAACCCTCACTGGGGAAAATTTCGTCAAAAAGTCCTCTACTGTTTGCCGAAGATTAACAAAATCTCAATCAATCAACCAGCACGACTACACTAAGGATAAGGAAAGATCCTTAAATAAGGATGCCTCAAGCAACCATTTAGCTGAGAAATGAGAGATCAGGACAAGGAATCTCCGATTGGCAACTCCACTAGGGAATTGAAACTTCTTCAGACTGTCGATTCTTATCTAAGCAATTCCATTGGGGACATGAGACGTCTTCAAACTTGAAGTCTCATAATTAAGCCTTTCTATTGTAAAAGATTTATGGGCAACAAAACTCTGCTGAGGATACAAAACTCCACTTGGGATAAAAAACTCTACCAAGGAGTATTTTGCTGGGGATCCCAGAACCTTCGGTATGCAAGCAAGATTCTTGTGATATTAGACGCCCCAAGTCATAAACTAAATGAGAATTTCTGAATGCAGACTTCAATGATAATTCAAATAGGAAGGTAAACTCTACTGGGAGTAGTCTTTGTTAAGGAACAAGATAATGCTCATCCATACTTGGTTGGTGAATGAAGGTATCAAAAAACCTTATCCGCCTCAAGAATCTCTCATATGAAAATGCCGAGGAGAACTAACTCTAAAGGGAATTCCCTGTTCCAGAGTTCAAAAGCTAGAGGTGAGACTCTTGCATAGGTGCTGACAAGCTGCAACTCACAAAGTGAATGACAATTCCTCAAGAGGACTTCATGCTATTTGTACCATCATTGATATGCTTCCACATAGTAACAAAACTTTGTGAGATTGATTCTCAACTTGACTGCCCCAGATTGGAAAAACGAAAAGACCAATAACCACAGGCCGAACCTTGATAATACTTACAAAAATAAATTGCAAATTCCGCTAGAGAAGATCATATCAAAACTGTAACATCTACGAGGAAACGTCAATTGGATACTTGGCGTTGCTGGAGAGAACACCGACAAAGTGGAGCCTGCGAGAAATCAAAACCCATCTGACTTTTGTTTGATAACTTGTCAATTTCTCACTGGAGATAACTTCCTAGGGTGAATAATACAAAATTAAATTGCAGTGCAGAGGAAATCTTCACCTATGTTCCACCTCTTAACCTTATGGGAAAATATCCAATATCTCCTTCCACAGATAAAGAGAACATTGTTGGGAGTTGGGACCTTTTGATGTAAGTCCTTAATAAAAGCGACTTCAACTGGGGAATCGTTGAAATTCTTAGACAAAAAAATTCTAAACAGACCAACCCGGGGATACTACCACTGGGGAGTACCAATCTTCACCCGGGGAAAATGAGGGTATCTTTGAACCCTAAGCTTGAGGTTCTAAACTCGCCTGAAGAAATATTTCAGCCATACTCTATTACTAGGGATAAAGAGCGCTTATAATACCAAGGGTATGACGATCCATGCTAGGGTAAGCGACCTTACAAAAAGAACTCTTGTGGGGAATGAGATATTCTTCTTATGAGAAACTCAACAAAATATGCTACTGCTGGAAATACGAGAATCTTCG